GCATGTTCCGGTATTTTTCAGAGGTGCAGCGACGAAAGTGAGACATTACGAATGATCAGCTATAATTATAGACTGCGGATTTTTATATATTTCAAATTCACACTTTTTTTTTCAGGGGTGACAGTCGATGACTCTATAAAACTTGAATATTTTATATTCCCTTTTTATATTTTTATATTCATCTGTGTCCTGTGCATTTATGCAAATCTGCAACTATTTCAATTATACTACTATAATAATTGTAAAAAAATAATAAAATTATACTCCTGTGGTAATAATTAAAAAAAAATAAAATTATACTTCTACAATAATAATAAAAAAATAATAAAATTATACTCCTATGATAAATAATAAAAAAATAATAAAATTATACTTCCATAATAATAATAAAAAAATGATAAAATTATACTCCTATGATAATAATAAATAAATGATAAAATTATACTCCTATAATAATAATAAAAATAATAATAAAATTATACTCCTATGATAATAATAAAAAAATAATAAAATTATACTCCTATAATAATAATGAAAAAAAAAAAATAAAATTATACTTCTATGATAACAATAAAAAAATAATAAAATTGTACTACAATAATAATAAAAAAATAATAAAATTATACTCCTATAATAATAATAAAAAAAATAATAAAATTGTACTCCTATACTAATAATAAAAAAATAATAAAATTATACTCCTACAATAATAATAAAAAAATAAAATTTTTTTATTAAAAATAATAATAAAAACTTTTTAAAATTAATAATAGATTTAATAATAAAATAATTTAATTAATAATTTAAAAAAAAGACAACTTTATAACTTTGTCACTTTTCCAAACGAATTACCATGTACAATAAAACGAGAAGAGTCACCGATCTCGAAACATAGTCGTTGCAATTTCTAGTCGAATTTTCACAGCAGAACTATTTCCGAGAAACGGTGGAAAGCGAGAAATTGAGGAAACCACAGGGAATGACTCGGTGAATTTTAACGAGGCAACGAAAGAAGAAACGAGAGACGCAAATGACACGTGAACTCGCGATTTAATGATCAATGCTCCACTTTCCTCCCCAATGAAACTGCAGAAAATCCTACAGGTCTGGATTCGTTTCTTTCCTCCGTTACGTTCGAGTAAAATTCGTCGATTTCGAATCGAAGGGAAGATTTTTTTTGCGCGTAAACGTATGTACGTGAAGAGCACATCTCTGTGACAGGTCTAGCCTAGCCACAGGAAATAGAGAAAAACGACGATCCCGGCGTAGAAGAGCAAAAAATACATGGACACGAAGCCCGTGATTAATAGTTGGCATATTCTTCTCACGTCCATGTTTGCTGGATGCTCGTCCCTCCAGATAGGAAGGATATCTCACGCCGCGAAACGCGCGATTTGCATTCAACTCGGTTGTTCACTCGTGCTTAGATCATGCGAACGAAAACACGCAGAAACGAACCGGGACGTGGATTTCGGTGGATCGGGAACCAAACAGCGAATATTTTTCTCCTCGTTGTTCGCCGAAAATTTCAATGAGCAGTTAGACCTTGAATCTTTAAACGAGTTTTGTTACTCTGTTACTTTGAAATCTCGTATATCGCAGATATGATAATCATCGAAAGTTCCAGAATCAAAAGATTTTCAATTTTGAATTTAATTTCGCTAAATGAGGTTTAACATTCCTCCGTGAATCTTCATTTTCATTCTACTTCAAGTTCGTTCAATTAATTTCATTCGCCATATATCGTTGAATTGAAATTAATTTTTAATGACTGTTTCATTTCAAGCGTGAGCAGCTTCTCTTTTTTTTTTTTTTAATCACGAAACGACGTGATCTTCTTCAGTCAAATTAAACAAATTCAATATCCAGAGACGCAATTCCTCGTTTGGTCACACGGAGCAATCGTTATGTTATTTTAGATCGCGTGTTTATGTGTGTATTTTCCGCACGTTCACTGACACGACACGGGCGGAACGAGACTTTTCTTATCAACGATTTCGTGTTTGAACTGTGATACGACACCGCGCCGGCTACGTTGATAATACTGTTCTGGCTTTCGCGGGTTTCGCGGGGAACACCGACTGGTTTCATCAAGGGCTAGTATGCCAATGGTTTCGATAATCGATGAGCTTATCGAAACGCAGAAACGTACGCTGTCGCTGGCAGACACGTTGACAATGCGTATTTCTGATTATGCGTGGGAGAAAATTTAGAGTTCAATCGTTAAACAAACGAAAGGAAATAAAAATTTAATTCAATTAAAATCTGTAGAATTCTTCTACGTCTGAGGAGATAAGATTTTAAACTAATACGAAGAAGGAAGATCAAAAGTTTGAAGTATACAACTGCTTCATGAACGTAGCAAAATATTTCGAGCGTTTTTTAAAAATAAAATTTCGTAGCTTCATATTTTTTGTTATACGTATATCGTGTTTCATAAAAGTACAATGTTTCGTCATGGTGAATATTATGTTGACCATGAATTTATAGCACATTTGGAACAGTAGCTGATTTTGTTTAGCTGATTTATCAAAGTGTTATCTAAAAGTGAAGCTGCCTCCTCATTGCAGCAACTCCTTCGATTCTAATTTTTTAATCTACGATACCACCTTCTATAATATTATTATTCTACTCGAGGATTGGAACTAGAATTTCCACGTCGAGTCGAGTCACTCGATTTTTAATTTCTGCTTTACGAGAGAATTTGACGAAAAGCCTTTTAATCCTCTGTTTCTAATCAAACTTTCTGCTCACAATGGAGACCGTGCTCGAGCGTTTAAAACGATTCAAGGTAGATTATAACCGGTCAGTGCAATCGTATGAAGCCATTAAGAGTATTTACGCGCGTTAGTTCACGAGGATCGTAAAACATGGTTTCGAAGCCACCGAGATATAATGTTTCTACTTTCGTTAAAATTCCTATCCTATTCCGGCCGATCTAGGCGTCGGTTATCTTTTACACGATCGTGATTCATTGAAAGTGCGTTATAATATCACGGACTTGGCCACGTATTCGCGAATACAATCCGTTCCACTTCGGCCAACATATTCGGCCATAACGAAACAAAAGGATCAAAGTTTCATTTATATTCACGTTTCGTCCATGTACTATGTGTCCTGCACGATATACAATCGTATACACTATCGTTCATAAGTATCTTGACACTTTGGTCAATTTTCAATGACAGTATTCGAATTTGTATTATCAATTATACAATTTACCAAATTACCATATTTTTATAGGATCTATTAAAGGACGTAGCAATCCGAGTTGGGCATTATTAGAATAAAATTTTATTCGAATAACATTTCGAATAAATTCTTCGAATAAAATTTTATTCGAATAACATTTCGAATAAATTCTTCGAATAAAATTTTATTCGTATAATATTTCGAATAAATTCTTCGAATAAAATTTTAGTCGAATAACATTTCGAATGAATTCTTCGAATAAAATTTTAGTCGAATAACATTTTATTCGAAGAATTTATTCGAATAATCCAACTGTGGCTGCAGAGAAGAGATCGCGAAGCCGTTTCTTGTGAAACCTCGAAATAATTAATTCGGCCACATTGAACTCCGTATAACGAATAAAGTCATTTTCGAATAATCTTTGTTCGTAATAATAAAATCGAATAATCTTTCTTTGTAATAATAAAATCGTTATTCGTAAATAACGAATAATTTTTCCTCGAATAAAATCGTTATTCGCAAATAACGAATAGTTTTTCGTTGAATAAAATCGAAAAAAAGTTATTCGTTATTTACGAATAAATTTGACAGATTTATTCGTTATTCGTTGTTCGAATAATAAAGTGCCCAACTCTGGTAGCTCAATTATTTGTTTATGTAAATTTCTAATTTCATTTATTTCTAATTTACCATATATGATGAAAACGCCATACAATTGTTAAACATTCTCACGACAGGTAACTGTTATGTCATCTGCATTTAAATGCGATCAAATTTTGACGAAAATCGACATTGAATTTAACTTCTTCTATAAATAAATACACTGTGTAATTTATTAAACGTCAATTATTACATAATTAATCTTGTAATCACGGATATTTCTGAAATGTTCAAAATACACCCCGAAAATCAAATAAAAATATAATGGATATATAATATAATATAATAATAAATATATATATTATAATATAATATAATAATAAATATATATATTATAATATAATATAATAATAAATATATAAATATAATAAAAATATAACTGCTAACACAGAATTAATTCACAGTAACTGCGTTCTGAAATTGCTTCTCTTCACCTCTAAAAGAAAAAATGCGACTCACACATCTCCCCTCTGAATCCTTCAATTAGAATCAAAAATAATCTGAAATACTTTCCTCCGGATACTTTTGAACACTGGTGTACGCAAAACACTCGAATGCGGGGAAAAACGGGCACGAAAGGGAAATGTTGCTACGATAATTAGTAAGTCCACGACTATTAGTTATGGCTGTGCCTCCTATAAGTATAAACATGAACGAACCTACGCCGATCCTACGTTCAATTATCAATCGCGTTTCTCGCGTTTTATTTCTCTGATTTATACCGACTCCGTAACGAATCGTCACGATCTATGAAATCGAAGGGAAATTCGGCGAATCGCGGGTCTAATTTCGATTTATGCTGTTCGATAAACGCTGCTTGCGAGAAAATGGCGTGCTCTTTAAATTCAAAGAACAGCTCTTTTCGATTATTATGCAGTCGTAAATGGTTTCGCGGATCGTTTACGTTGCCTCAGAGATTTCATCGTTACTTTCGTTTGTTTCTCTCTTCAATGAGGTTCAGCTTGACGTGCATCGCGGGATAAATTTAAATTAGGCTAATAAGTAGTAAGACCGTTTTCGTGCGTATTTATAATAGTAATAATCCAGATCGGCGAAACTGCAGCATTTTTGCTTTAATTTCGAACGAGTTCCTTTTATTGTTGAGTAATAGCGAAAAGGGACGAATAATAGCAGGTTTGTTTGCATACCTTGAGCGTCAAATTGTCGCCTTCTACGAAGCATGCTTCTTCCCTGAGAGGAAACGGGACCTGTTCTTCCATGATTATCGTCGTGCGGCTCATCTTCACCTGCACTTGTCGCGCTATCACGTTGCACCACTTCATCACTTCCAATCGTCGACGGAACCGCGCTACTTCCGTTTCCACCGAAAAACTTCACCTTCCTAGCGAGCTCCACGTACCCATGAAGGCCAGTTTCACTCAGCCTAACGGAGGAAAATAAAAAAAGAAAGAAAAAAAAAAAAATGAAAAAACTAAAGTATCATAGAAAATTTAAAAAAAATATACAAAAGCGACCATTCTCGTCTTTGACGAGATAATTTTATAATTATTACAACTTCCAATAGTTTTCAATAAATGTAAAATTATGCATTACACTGTAGCTTTGTGAAAAATCATAAATTTCTATCAATTATAGTTTTGTTCCTTTGCAAAAAGAAAGATGAAGAAATTACTCGTACGAATGAATAATTCAAAGGCTGTGAGGAAATATCCTCGACTGAAACATCTGAAACTTCGAACGTATTCGAAGCTCCCTTCTTCCACTGATTCGATTTCTAATTCGTGTACGGCAGCAAACACTTCCGCGGCTACTTCCTAATGATTGATTATTCCGGTAGTAGTTGGCGATTCGAGGCACGTGTTACAATCGAACGTTGGTAAATTGAGTTTCGCGATTTAAGCGCCGCGTGATTCAAATTTCACACACCTCACGCTCTCGCTACCGCTACTCTCGTATCTGGCGCTGCTATTGGATTCCCTCCTGGTCCTCGTAATCGCGTCCCGTATTCTTTGCGATGCCGAGCACGAGTCACCCGTTTTCCGTGGAAGTGCTGGGGTTGGTTCGCTCTCGCTCTCCCTCGGGCTGTATCTCGACGATCTCGTGCTCAGCGGGCTCGCTTCCGGGGACAAATGCTGTAAGAAATTTAGCGTTGTCACTCCGTGTTTCTTTCAGCCTCATAAGTAATGCAAAAGTTGATGAAACATGTAGTAGTCGGTCTGAATTAAAAATATATCTTTCAAATGAAACCAATTCTACCTGCGAGTTAGACACTATGTGCATGTTTCGTTTCGAATGGTTGGAATAGAATTAAAAAAATAGTTGGAGAACTCACGCTGGAGCAGCGTTTATTCGGAGTGTCGTCAGGAGTGTCATCGGGATTGGAAAACTCCTCCTTTGAAAACTTCCGACGTACCTAGATCAAAAGCAAAAATCCTTCTTACTCTAATTATGTATATCTCGCAGACAAACAGAAGACTCTAATAATTCTCTTTAAAGTATAGAGCAAAGCTCAACAAAGAGTCACAAGTAACTAACCACTTGAAAATCATCGGATTTCCTGCCATGTCCAACATCTTTCCTCTCGTACGTTCCCAACGTGGCGACGTCGGCCTCCGAATTTTCAATGAGGCTCTCAGTGGTCTCTTTCATCGAGCCCCTGTCGTTCTTGTCGTTCTCCAGTGCCTCTCTCTCCTCGACCATCGAGTTCTCCTCTTTGTTCACCTCCAACGTGGCACGCGGTTTCTCCTCTTTCGCCTCCTTTTCTCCTTTCTTCACGCCCTCTTGCTCTTCCAGCAGCTTCTCGTCGGTGACGACCACGTCGAGCATCGTCTGTTCGTTGGCCACCGTCTCGGCTCTCACTCTCTCACGCTGGCTCGCGCGTGGCCCTTCCTCGTCGTTCCTCGACGACTTGCCATCGAGGCTCTCTCTGCTGCTCTCTCTGCCCGGCGTCCTCGTCCTGCCTTGTTCGTGCACCGTCGACTTCGATTTCGACGTGGTCGAGACGCCCACGCGTTCCTCCGTCCTCTCCGGCTTCTCCTCTTTCCCGGCTTGCTTTCCTTTTGCAGCGACGGCCGCGCTATTCGCATTTGAATTCGCGCTCTCCCTACCCACGTCCTCGCGGCTGTTGTCCCGTCGGAATAGCCGAATGCCGTACTTCGAGTCCTCCTTGCCGGTCGATTGGCTCGACTGGAACGATCCTCGAGCCTCCTCCTTCGAGTCTCTTCGGTTAGACTTGGATACGCAACGGATATCGTCCTTGCTGTCCTGACGTTTCAGTCGGTCCTCCTTGTTCCTTGGAGACAGTAGCTTGGGGATCAGGCTCGGCAAGCTTATGTCCTCGCGACTTCGCCGCAGGTCGTCGGTGCTTCCTCGATATCTGTGAGAAATATAAACAGCAGTTAGTCGGAGCATCTGTTGAATTACTCCTTATTCGGTCTTATTCCAGCCTAGTGCTAGAATGTGGATGTTGGCGCAATATCATACAATTAAAGAAACGGAGGGGGCTAAGTAAGTAGAAAATTTATATATAGGTTACAACAAGCATGTGCTTTTGAATAGCGCATTCCTTTGCGATTTCACAAATATGCACAGGAAATTATTACAAAGGAATAATTTGACGTGCAAGAGTCACGTGAGTGAAATAATCAGTATATACAAATAAAATAATTTATATGGTTCTTCTAATGCAAATATATCGAATGTAAAGGCAATAAATGGAAATACTATACAAAAACGTGGTAAACCTTGATAACTTAGTTCAATCATAAATACACGTATATTTTAAGTAGAATAATGCAAATGGCACCACAATGCAAGTCATCGCCATCGTTTCAAAACGACAGAGTGCCAACTAAGCAGGCGTCGGTATCGCGAACGAATGCACATTTTCGTTTTAACAGTTCGCAACTTTGCTTCGATTCTTATTTCATTCGATGACACGATTCCTCGAAAACGAGGATCCAATCAAGTCAAACGCGAAACACTAAATTTCGACCGCGCGCAGTCGAAAGTTGGATTAAAGATCTGCGAATACCTTTGAGGGATGAGGGAACGTTTCGGTGATTCCTGCGGGCTTCTGATGTCCTCGAATTCCTTGGAGCTTCTACGAAATATCGGGATGTTCGACTTTCTTTCCCCATGTTTGATCGACAGGCTCGATTTGATCTCCGGCGAAATAAATTTCGACAGTATCCTCGGTGGCTTTATCAACGAAATTCTTGGCGTGCTTTGCTCCTGACTGCTTGTCGTCTCGTCTTGTTCGTCGATCTTCGTCTTATTGCCAGCGGGCCGATCGTTCTTCTTCGTTTTTACGGCATCCGACGATGGCACCTCCTCCTCCTGTTTATTAGAAAGCTTCTCTATTCGTTTGGCGTTCGTTCGTTCGTTGGCGATCGAATCGACTCGCGGCGTGAATTTCTCGAGATGAATCGACTCGCTCCTCGCTATCGTATCTTCGCATGGATCGCCTTTCGTGGAACTGTTACACTCGTCGAGCTGTTCGATCGCCCCCACGGCAACTGGTGCCTTCCGATCGGAATTCGACGTTTCTCCGTCAATGGACCTCGCGGTTTCGTTCTTGTTAACGATTTCCCAGTACTCTTGATGACGAGACGGCAGGCTCCGATACAGCCGCAACTCTGGCGATTTCCTCGCCGCTGACCAACGCGTGGGTGGACCTGTAATACAGAAGCGTGTATCGATAATTCAATAAAAGCGAGACTCTTGTTTTCGCGTGGAACACTGATAGAAGCGATTTCGATTCAAATACGTTCAAGTTTATTACAGTTTAATTGCTTGGTACGTTCAAGTTTACTAGTTTAGCAACTGGATTTATTATAGCAATTTCCAGCTTAATTCTGGTATTTATTACAATATATATTTATTACAATATATTTATTACAATATAATATATATTTATTACAATATATACATTTATTATAATTGCTCTACCACAAATTTTATTTTTTTCCAAAAAAGTTTCTTTCTCTTGTTCTTATTCTTTAAATTTAAATATTATTATATATATTTTAATATATTAATACATTAAATATTATTATTTATTATTATAATCATTATATTTTAATATTATTATTATTATATATAATTTTCCGAAAGACCAAGTAATTAATTTAATTGATTCGAAATTATTCGCTACTATATATAGATAAGTTCACATGTTACGCAACTACTGTTTTACAATGTTCTATGAGCACGTTGCATTGAAAGGCTCATTAAGAGTAATTAATGTGAAAATAAGAAGATAATATTGGAAGTGATTATACTAAATATTGATAATCATTTAAATAAGGTATATTATTACCAATCTATATGCATTGACGTAATAGTCATAATTATTACAAAGTATCGAACAGGAAATTGAAGTTACAAATGCAACATATAGGAAACGAAAAATATTAAACATACCGTTGATTGTCCAAGCTCGCCGGATGCTGCGTTTCAACAATTCCACGGGAGATGCTGCTTTCCCATTTATAGATCCTTTACACGTTGAATTTTCGTAGGTCCATTTCTCGGTAACAACGTGCAATTCCCTAAAGAAATGCAATTACAAAATTACAATCTATAATAAAATACCAAATTTATACCAGAAAAATATCAACAAAGATATTTAATCCTTTTAATATCAATACTGACCATGTCAAGAAATCTACAATCTATAATAAAATCTATAATAATCTTGCAATCTATAATAAAATACCAAATTTATACCAGAAAAATATCAACAAAGATACTTAATCCTTTTAATATCAACACTGACCATATCAAGAAATCCACAATCTATAATAAAATACCAATCTATAATAATCTTACAATCTATAATAAAATACCAAATTTATACCAGAAAAATATCAACAAAGATACTTAATTCTTTTAATATCAATACTGACCATGTCAAGAAATCTACAATCTATAATAAAATACCAATCTATAATAATCTTGCAATCTATAATAAAATACCAAATTTACACCAGAAAAATATCAACAAAGATACTTAATTCTTTTAATATCAACACTGACAATGTCAAGAAATCTACAATCTATAATAAAATCTATAATAATCTTGCGATCTATAATAAAATACCAAATTTATACCAGAAAAATATCAACAAAGATACTTAATCCTTTTAATATCAACATTGACCATGTCAATTATCAAATTTTTGCACAATGTATCTAATATAACGAAACTGCGGATATTTTATGCAAATTCGCATTTACGAGATACATAACTTACGGATATAAAATTGTTTCACTTACTTTCATGTGCATTTGCAACACAGACTATAACGAACGGATTACCTTTAATTAACATTGTACTGCTATATTAAATTAACTCACTCACTTGGCAGAGAGGAAAGAAATAGATGAGCAATCTCGCGAAATCGAAAAGCACGAAGAATAAGGGAAATGTCGGGGAGAGAATCTCGGCAAGAGAGTCGAGAGGAGAACGAGGCGAGCCACGCAAGAAGGAAACGGCGTAACAACACAATGGAAGGATTACTCACGCGATCCTGTAGCAAATGTTACAGATCCATTCGACGTCTTTGTTATCGGTAGGGCTCCTGACCTCGATACGGCACTGTCTGCAAACTCGGTGCCTGCAGCGTGTACACGGAGCACCGGTGTTGTAAAATCTACCAAACGGTGCACCGCATCTGGCGCATTTACGTCCTTGGTACGATAGTTCACCCGACGCCTTCAAAAGTCCCCTCCTACGGAGGTATTGCAGATCAGCCTTCAGTCTTCTGTAAAACGTACAGTTCCTTTGCGTTACCCTCCTGAATACACCTTCCTGCCGTCTACTCGCGATACCATCGCACTCGCAACTCAGTAACAGCGGACGAGAATCGTACAAAAATCGGACGAAAATGTTTTTCACTTCACGGACGATGTTTAAAAGAATCTGAAGAATTTCAAAGGACGAGCAAAATGAGATACTGAAGAAGTAAACGCAAGTGAATTGGTTGAAATTCGTTGAAATATCACTTTTGCACACCTTTGTAGATTCTTGAATGACAGAAGAAAAACAAGCAGGTACAATGTTCAGCGTTTGACATTTCATTTTATTTCACTTGTGATTTTTTACTGAAATCGTCTTCGTTATTTTCTGTTCTTCGAACTCTACCATTCCACTTATTAAAAGTGTTTATTTATTAAAATAATCACATCAGAGTCGCTTTTCATTAATTATCCTCTCTTAATTTTTTCCAGGAACATTCTACCAACTTTTTTGCCTCTGTGCGAACGACATTCGATCGAATTCGCGTTATTAATTTCAAACTAGCTTCGTGTACTCGCTTTTCAAGGAAATATTACAATTGAACCTGATAAATCACTCATATTATTACAACTGATCTGAAATAAAGAAAAAAGAATAAACTCCAAACCTTTATGCATTTATGAAAAGCTCAAAGGTATCGAACGAAAGAAATCTAGATTCCATTTCTTTCGCTGTAGAATTCATAAAAAAATATATATAAATTTGCATGAATGTCCACGCAAATAGTCTACTATTTTTGCGAGTCTCCAGCGTTTATTCTGCTCTGTTGGCTGATCGACGCGGCACAATCGTTAGATTACTCATTGAACGGTAAAAACGAACGAGTTATGACTGCATACGCCAGAGTATAATGCTACAGTACTCACGCAACGAACGCAACGAACGCACGTGATGTATCCCTGTGGAAAGCAACGACCGTTCTACGGTGAATCGTAAACCCCGTAGAAACACGCGTCACCACGGTTCGAATCTCCGTCAGAACCAGGGAACGGCCTTCGCTAAAATTGACGTTAGACGAAGGAGAAGCGTGCAAAGTGAAATACGTGTCGAATATATCGAGAAGCTGCATTGGCGCTTAATTAATCGCTGCGCTTATTGTATAACGCTTAATTATAACTCGGCGAACGTCATTGATAAGTTTATTGCTGTTAAAATAGAGCTACGTGTACAAGAGGTTTACAGAGATGAATATATTCATTATTTTTCTAAATAAACAATTTTAACGAAACACTCGAATGTGTTCCTGCAGGCGCTTAAAATTCATTTACCATTTCCCGTCGAAATTTTGAATAGCGATCTGATTTGATGATCTATTTGTCACGTGTTTAAATTTTTCTTACTTTTTCACACTCTACGTTCATGCAAAAAAAAAAAAAAAAAAAGGAAAGAAACTTCGAGTAAAAATAAAACACAATTTTCTTTCAAATTCAGAGACTGGCTGAGGAAATTATCGAGATTCATTTGTACGTGCGCGAATAAAAATTTATGATAAAAAAATTCTCCGCGAAATTCGCGCACAGATTAATTTCACTTTTTCATCTGAACCTTTGCACAATAACCTTTGCACCACCTCTAATACATCTCAAACGTCTTCTCTCCTCGAGTAAAATTGCGAAGAAGCACGAAAGACCGCGACGCGTTAAAAAAAGAAAAAAAAAATAATCGGGAAGAACGAAATTTTCTCCGACTTTGTGGCCGGATGACAGTAATTCACGATCGGTCGCGCAGTTGCCGCGCATCTATGCCCCTTTCGTTATAAAAAAAGAATCGGCTGTCCACGCAAAAGAAAGATTGCTACATCTTTCTGGTTGGTGCCAACCAGCTGCGTTAGTGTACCTCGTAGGTGTTCCACCGGGTATATATCTCGTTTCCATTCCCGTCGCACAATGATAAAGCATATTAACGCAACATACTGTACGATGCAATCGACACGACCGAATAACAATGAACGATATTTCCTATGGCTTTTAGATATCCCGATCCAGTACCTCGAATACCTTTCTCTCGTCCCTTTCTGTCTCTCTTCTCTCCAGTCGAATTCTGCTTGCTTGTAGTATCGAAACGAGAATAAACATTCAAACGCTCGTAGATACGTTTTATGGATATATTATACGCGTCATGGGGAATACATTGAAAGTTTATGGATCGTAATGAGACGCGATTCATAACGTTGGGGATACATCTGTAAATGTGTGTGTAAAAGTTATTCGAGATATTCGCAGAGTTAATTAATAGATCTCATATTTAACATTTATTACACGCTCAAGTTGCTTACTCACGCTGTATATTAATTTTTAAATAACCATGCGTTTGCGATATGGATGTCTCTCTGTGATTTTCTACATACGTGTTCAGATCGATTTCAAATTTACATCGACACGACGCGACTGCACTGCAGCGTTAATGAACATTTTAAAACGTTTCGCAAGAGTTGTCTGTAGCAACGTGTTTCTATGCTCGCTTTCTTCAATTTCATCTAAAGCACACTATCGTTTACTATCGTGTATTTAAATTTCATTTTTCCGGGTGTACGTTTAATCCGTTCAAGTATATTTCGAGATGCACGCGTGCCAGGTGAAGCGAATGCAAAACAAAAGTAGCTTCCTTTCAGTTCCTTTCATTGGTTTTTTTCATTTGTATATATACCGTTAGCCTACATACCTTTAACCTCCATCCCGTGGAGAACATACACTCATAGTTCTCGGAGCAAACATTTACTCTTATATCGTTAGAATGTAGAAAGCAAATGTTTAGAATATGTACAACAGTATAACAGTAATTTGTTATATCATATCGTCCTGGCGTTATTTTCGTTGCACTTGAAATCAATGAAATCAAGCAATTTTGATTGATCCCTCAAGAAGTTGGTTTATAAATTGTAAAAAATTCGTTTTTGTTACAGCGTAAATTCAACGAACAAAAACAAATATTTTCGTATACTTGAAACCAGCATTCGCGTAGCCAGTTGTGTCTAAGATAGAAAAACATCTGGTCAGCGGAAGACGAAAGTCGTAGTAGTAGAAGCAAACCCATAAAGAATCATTGCGTACCAATCCCACGCATCCGCCTTAAGGGCACTAAAAGCTGCGCAGATTCACGTATTAATTTCGAAATTTTATCTTCGACGGTCTCGATAAAGTCACGCGAATTATTTGACCAATCGCGGTTATTTAAAAATTTTCATTATTTTAATAGAATTCGTTGAAATATTCCTTTTGTGAAATTAATACCAAGTACACTTATTTGTTACTAAGACTGAAATTTATTTATTTTTTTTTTTTGGCTATTAAATTAGAAAATAATTTCGTTTCATTTTTTATACCTTTGGCAGGATCTATTTTATTTGCTGCTAAAACTATCCCGAGTAGAATGACGATTGCGAAGGCAAAATCGAGATTCGAGTGAATGAAAATGGGCTTTGTGGGAAAGAACCAACAATCTTGAGGAAATACGTGATCACAATTGCAACAGTATGAAAGATAATGCGAATGGCTGATTTGCATACAAAATTGGAGACTTTCGATGCAGTGGAATCCTAACCTGTGAATTAACGTCTTTCGCGGCGAACAGCCTGGAAACAGAGTGAGCGATGAAGCTGGTTTGAACAGCTTCATCTTTGAGGATAGATTGCACCGGGATAAAGTTGCTGTTGCTATCCTGCTGCTCGAGAGAAATAATTAGCGTATGATCGTGATACTATCGCGTGACCAGAATCTACCGATTTTGTACTTGGTCATTTCATTAGTGGAACGTTCTTCTTTGACAAGTTAAAATTTTCAGCGATCAATGTAATTGATGTGAAGCAATAAATGGATTTCCTGTCGAAATTTTCTTCGACACGACAATGCTTTAACCGAACTTATTTTTCATTCCAGGCATAGATAAAAAGCGTGACGGACGTTAGTAAGAAATGTTCATAAGTGTTTCTGTTATCACATATTCGTCACTCAGGCACGTTAGTCCTCCACGGTGGAAGAACGTTCGAGGCACAATCAAACGACGTTCCATTCGTTCAAACGGGACTCTAAAACAGCTGTAATTTGCACTAAACATAACTCGTCACACATTATGCGTCACACTACAGACTTACCAAGATCCGACAAGCGCGTCACTCTTCCTTCAATATCGGCAAAACACGAAAAACAACCACGACACTGCACGGCAATCGACCCGTCGATACGTCCCAACGGAACTCCACAAATTCTTTGTAAAATCGCCGGTCAAGTAAACGTGCGATTAAACAAAGACAAAGGTGATGGACGACGTGTCGGTTCTCTGGCCGAGTAAGATCGGCTTTCACTCGATCTCGAATCGCGTCAAAAAACACGCGAAAGAAGCAAGGCTCTCCTCGCCTTGGACACCTACGCGTCCCTCGGAGATCCGACCGGTCGAAGAATCACGATCCTACGTTGACCGCAGCATCCGGCCGAGCGAAACACGGCCGCTAGACTGGAGATCGGCGTCGAGTCACCGATGTTCGTTCGCACAATAAAACGAGCCGACCGCGGTGCAAGCTGGTGTCACTTTCCGCGACCATTACCCGAGCGAGATATTAAGGGCGCACGCAGCTGCTGCTGTTGTCCTGCCGTGGCCGCCGCTCGTCGTCCGTCCACTTCCGCTTCGGCCACGGAGATCGAGGAACGCGGCGGCTGTGATCACAGGTCTCCGGTTCCACGTCCGGTCTGTGGAGCGCTCGAGAGACTCGAGAGCCGGTGCACAACACGAAGCCAGTGACAGCACAAACGAAGGAACGTTGCACAGCCGGAGGTAAGGTAACGTGGTGTGCTCACTTACCTGGACCGTCGCGCAGCCGCTTTAGGTCCTCGGTGAACCGAGCGATGGAGAAGCGACCGGCGAAGCGACCAATCGGCGCTCCTTATCGCCGACGCGGCGTAGGTGTGCGTGTTTCGATACACATATACACACCGGGCAGATCGGCGGCGGGTGTCGTATCGGCGGGTTGTTGTTTAGGTATCGGCGCGCGGCGTGTGCGGGTTTTGCGGCTTTTGCCGCGCGGCTCGATCGAGGGAACACCGCGAACTTCGGCTGCTCGCGAGACCGAGCGCGGAGAGATCGCGCGGTCCCTTCGGTACGTTTCGCTTCGCTTCGGTTACCCTCGGTTCCCTTTTGCTCCAGCTCCAGCTACCAGCGCGCGAGCGGGGGCGTGACTCCGCGTACATTAGACGACAGTAACGCTCTGTCCGCCGATGTCAACGACTGTGGCCTCTATCTCTAGATTTCCCTTCGTACGAGACACTTCTCACTCAGGTCAGAGCGCAAGTCGCGCACTTTTTTTGAAAGATTCAAATTTGTCGCGAGCCAATTTCACATGGTCAGGACCATTTTTCTTATTTGGCTTAAATGGATTGGGTGTGCACGTTGAGAAAGATTCAAGCGCCGGAAGGCAAAAGGCAGAGGATTTTCAGTATCCTTGAAATAAATGACAACGAGAAAATACTAGACAGGACGGCTGAAGCAAGATGGACGACACGGTTTTCCTGAAAGTTGATTTTGAAACGGGATTTCGTGAAAGAAGGATGAAAAATTTGATAGAAAGGCGTCGAACGATTATAGAAAATGGAGGACGACAAACGTGATTAATCGACATCAGACACAGTGGCTTGTTTGAGTTATGAGACGAGTTGTTCATGTTTTCTAGGCAATTTTTCTAACAACGAAATAAAATTGGTTGAAATTTCGAATCCCGTTGAAACAGCAATTGTGAAAGTGTGCTGCCTGCCTGCAGCATGTTCCAATATTAATCACACGTTATTGGTATAACGATTATTTTTGCGGAAGATAGGCCGACGCATGCTTTATCTTCTTTTCTCCGCTGGACTCGTCGAACTGGATTTCACGTTCCGTGATTCATTAGCAGTAAAGTTGCATCAAGCATAAACGCTTCATGACATTACTCCCTTACACAGACATTTTCCTCGTCGTGTTCACAGTGAATCACATCATCGGTAATTTTTCCACTATCGATAGCCTCACGCAAAACCTCGTGATCTCATTTTGAAGCACCAGCTTCCGCCAGAAATGGAGGATCTTGAATGATCTCCACGCGAAAATAAATCAACTGCTTTAAATCTGTTGATTATTTTAATTTTATTTATTGCACGTTATTATTTTTTGCTCATTTCATTGCACTCAGCAAATTTCGTTTTAAAAAAAAATTTATCTTGTTAAATTTCTTCCGTCGCGATCGATGAAGGAACATTTCCTTTCTTTTTTCATCAATAACGATTACGCATTGTTCGCGCGAGATTTCAAGTAAAATATTGCGCGATTTCACGCAAAGAATTAATGTCCGCAGGCTGTCAGGTACCTACAGATTTATGCCTGCAATGACACAGCTTTGCATGGTGGGTGATTGTTCTCAGTAATAAATCAATTTTACATTATGCCTATATACGAACGGCCGTCGTATTAACCACTGATAATTAAATTCGTTAACGCGTGTAACGTCAGATTCTAATCTGCGATCGAGACCGCGTAATTGTATCAATGGGTTAGCGTCTCTCGTGAATTTATATCGAGCTAATCTTCTGATAATCTGTACGAAAATTATACACAAGAAAGTAGATAAATAAATTCTTGCAAAATTCTTGGCGATTAAAAACAATACGTAGGAATGTTTACATTTCATTTCGTTCATTTCAATTCATGACGACATTCACTTGACGAATTGATGGAGTGGTAATAACAGAAACGAGCTAACGACTTCAAGGAAACTAATCGTCGCTTTTAGCGGCGATAATAACCATAAAATAGACTCGTAAGTGGCGTCGTTGTTAAGGGATGATAAAAGTTCTTATTAGTGATATTTCGGCGGATTGGTCAACCGATTTGCTAAATTTATCAACAAGCAAACACACGAGGATAATAATGGCAATGATTCTCGTTTAGATGAGGGTTGTATTGCACAAGTACGCGTCTAATCACGATAATACCATTTACAGATACTACCAGGAAGAGTGGCCCTGCCGCGATTTCCCGTAAATGGCGTACCTTCGGCAGGAAACGGGTTATCCAGTTATCCGTTCTAGTACATGAAGATAACCTATTACGTCGACTTTTGTGAACGCAGTTCATCCGTTATGTGTATCTCAGTGCATCGAGTCGGACGCCTCTGCCAAAAATTTTCACTCCTCTAGACTGGATTAGATGAAATCGAATGGTTCCAAGCTTGTTGAAAATAAAAAAAGTGCACTATTAAGTTATTGTTTTACAAACTTCATTTTATTGTATTGCAATTCTGTATGTAAATACGTATGTCGTTTCTATTACGGTGAAACGAGAAGAAATTCACTTGCAAATTTTAATATTCAGGTATAATAATAATAATTTACATCTTCTTGCATCTCTCCTCAATGAATATAATTTCTCCTTCTTCTGGGAATCTCTAGAAACGAAAGATGCAGTTTCAAACTTTGCCTCTTATCGTATTAACAACAATAAGAAGTTAAAAAGTTTCGGACGATAGTCAAGATGCGTCGATTTGTATCCTAATTGGTGCATTGTTCTGTTACAAACGATAATGTTAATTGCCTATAAAAAAAAAACAGTACTCCGTTAGACAGCGATATTCTCGATATTCTCCGTGACTGCCGTATTAAACTGCCGTTTTCTCTGTTATTAATAAACTGCACATTTAAAATTCAATGTTTCTTCTCATGCTTTCACGACACGGATCCTGATCGATCGCACGATCCCTTTCAACGCGCTGGAAAACTATAGACATACCGATCGATGACAAGTTTTTAAATTATATTAGCGCGGAAAGTAGAGCGGAAACGCGGGGAACCGTGTCTACGTTCAGAGCGTACGCCGGCGATTGCCGGCTCTGTCATCAAGACTTCACGCAAGAGAGAACAATAGCTTTCCCCGCGGTGGTTAATGCAATTAATTATTAGACACATGATAAAAGACGACTCGTATTATAACGTATACCCCTCCTCTATTATTCCCATCAATTTTTCATTCCGGCTGCTGACTCATAAAACACGAAAGCACCGCCGCACCGCGTCGGCGATTTCTTCGCGTAGCTCGGTTATATTCTTTTGTACTCTGTGATACCTCTGTCTGATATGTAAATGAAAATCCAGTCCATTACACGGGCAATTTCACTTGCACCTTATAACCGCCGCGTCGGATTAGAATCCCGGCTCGAACGTGCAAAACAAAATCGAATTAGTATGCGGATAGTTTTCCTTACCACCAGTGTTACGCAACATATGCGACTATAGTAACTCGAGTATATCTGAATATTTATCACGGAAAATAACGTTTTTGTGTACACACCGTGTATCTGTCGAATTGAACGTTTCGGAGTTTCGTTAGCGTTGTAATGAGAGCGACCACTGTTTGCAATTGTGTTTGCAATCAATCCGAAAGTGTATTTGTTATAAGCAAATATAAGTTTAGTGAAAAATTAGTATAGAGTGTGAGCAGTCATCTTAAACAAGTGTTACAGATGATTGGAGTTATAGTTGTAGACATTGGAGTTAGGAGATAAGTGATAAATATCTATAGATAATATAGATAATATACATGCTTAAACTGAACTAACTATATTTAAACTAAAGCTTCTATATATACTATCTGATTTATTCCAAATTTTGTCAATAGAATCGTGATAATCTAGCCTTGTTACAGTACCAACAAAATTTCAAAATGTGTCACATCACATCCGCAATTATATAAACAAGATTCCTCTAGGAATATTCACTATTCTAAACAACCACGTTTTATATACGTATTACGTTTATATTATTATTACACGATTTATTATTAGATTCACATTTGAATGAGAGATAAACAGAAATGTGAGATAAACAGACATAAAAGAGCGTTAATGATGTTTGTAAAAAAAGAATGTAAATATCAAAGATACGTAGTAGCACGTTGTGACACTCTCGCGGAAAGGATAAAAAAATAACACATATTCCCCGTTTTTTATTATCATCTCGGTAAATGTATGTATACTACGGGTCACAGGGAATTGCAACGGCAATCACCGTATGTACTATAGATACATACGGGCGCCGGAAGTCCCGTTAGTCAACCTTAAGGTTTAAGGTTCGTTTCTCCGAGTACTGTGTAAGCTGCTCCGTAGGTAATAATCGAATTTGTTAATAAAATATTGTCACCATAATTGGCTGTAATTTAAGTCAATTAGAAGGTGGATAAATTTAAGAACTACCTCGATAAACTTCCATGAAAATGTTGCTAGACTATTCATTAATGCTGCTGGTTTTATCGTCAGAAGCTGTCGATATTTACGTATCGATAATTTTCAGTGAAAGTCGTATCGAACCTGAACTGGTTTCGATAATGTCCTCTAATATTAATATTAACTCGATAAGCCACAGAGAAATTCTAACTTTTCCATCGTTTTAAGAAAGAATTGAACAGAACTTTCGAACGAATATTACAATTATCATTATAAAATATTTATTTATTTTTTCCTTCAAATTCAAGAAAATTCATTTTAAATCGAACAAACTGTGTTTCTTCACTTAACCAGGCTATTCTTTAAGCAGAAATTTTTATAATTAAAAGACTCAAGATCAAAAGAAAAAAAAATCAATTTCGATTACTCCTCGTAAATATATAAGTGAAAGAACACGTAAAAAGATGTAGTGTTGTTAGATAAAAATTATATTATAAGTAACGAGTCAACTCTGGTTTCTCCCCCGATTAATAAACTGAATTCAAACCAGACAACATTTCGCGCGTTCGAGCTACCATCCGGTTATGACCGCGAGAATGTCAATTAAAAATACATTCACCTGGGAATTTTCGTGCCCGTTTTATTTATTTAGAAACTTGGACCGACATATGTCGGACACGATATATGTATACATATAAATATCACGAGTTCCTCATGGCTCCGTGTGAAAGCGCCATTCCACTCGACTCTGTCTGCTACGACATACAGAAAGACGAGACTCTCGTTCGCACGGGGGGTCACAGCTAGCCCTGAGGGAGCAGTCATTGACATTGAGAGAAAGAGAGAGAGAGAGAGAGAGGGACCGTCGAGAAACGTGACTAATATGATGGTGCTACCTCTATATGGCAGCTTTTCGTATTTTCTATTCACCGAAAACCACCTGTAGAATCGCTGATCGCCAGGTCGATCAGTTTAAGCCGAACAGATAAATCAAATATTTCTGGTCCATTGGTCGATTGGACGTTCGAGTTTATGCAGCTCTGTCTGTTAAACGAAGTAAGCACTTTTGTTCGTGAAAAATAAAATGGAGTGGAAAGGTACGACCAAAGCATGCGAACGATTATGGCAGTAACTGCAACACCAGGTAAATTATACGGTGGTACAGCATTAAAAGATACACGCACATTATCTCAACATTTGTCTAATTATACGCTCGTTGGCGCCAGAAAGGTTTTGCTGGTAAAAAAATGCAATTACACTGTCTTTCAGACTTTGTAATTCGTACGTTCGTTGCGAAAAAATTGTCGACATCATGGTCACATTATTGTCGTATTGTGAGGAAATATGAAATACGAATGTTTCTTCAACGAAATGTACACCTTTTGAATAGAGAGAAAAAAATATATATATATGACAATTTGTATTTTTAATTCATCGATGCAATTATGTGCTCAGATTATTCTGAATATATTCGAAACAGAACGGCGATCCATCGCGTTTTAATTTGTGTGGTTGGTATAGAAATTCTGGATAGTGCTAAAACAGGTTTCTCGCAAACATCTTACTCTCGACGATTTAGTATTCGACAGTCGCTCTGCTGGCTCGTATTCGTCGAGGTTTATTGCCTCGAGCAGCGTAGAAAGTATAACGCAAACCCCTCTGATAAACCGTAAACGGTCGTGAGATATAAAAGTAAGCAAATAAGATCGAGCGATTCGTCCTCGAAACATGTTCATCTAGATATGTGTATTTGATTGTAACGTTCCACGTAACAGAAATGAAAAATACATGTGAAAAATGCGAGCACGATGTATAGATTTCACATGAAAATCTAAACGTCCACGGAACCGCGCGTAAAAACACCTAACTAAATGACATTCCAGCACGACGATTCGACATGCTGGACTATAACGACCGATCCACTCCTCGAACTTCCAGGATCACTTTTAAGAACGCACATCCAGTCGTGTAATAACGTAACTGAAAACTGTACGAAAACGTTTTTGTTGGATCTTCCAGAACAATCGTTCCTCCACGATTGACCGATTGATCACCGATTAAATTCCGATTCGAAATTTCCTCGACAAAATGATCGATCGAAGATCGTAGTGAAAGTCGAAGATTGAACGAAACCAATTGCAAATGGTAAAACATGCGACGAAAGAATATTGGTTGAACGTTACCCTTGTTCCTCTTCGGCAGTCGGCGGTCCCTGTTGCGCGATGCGAAACACGTCCGTCGTCGACATGGTTCTCCGTTGGCCAGCAGCACACCGTTGACACACGATCACGGGTCACATATCGACGCCACTTTCCTCCGATCATCCAACGTATCGAGGATACTTTCCTCGATTCGAATCCACGTAACGATGCCGCGCACTCGCTGCCGATCCACGTGTAAACGCGCGCTAGTCGTGCAAGTTAAGTACGTGTCCAGGTTGGCTGGCGCCCGTCAAGGCTAATACTGGTGCCGCGGTGTGCCGCGAGAATGGTGCGTGTTGGAGCCGATGTATGCAAGATCGGTAGCGCAACAGGTTGCGAGTCCACATAGATTTTCCACATTCCACGGTCGGGCCGGATCCGCCGTGGCTGTCGATCGTTCGTATCGATCGAAAAGCAGTGAAGAGCGACGCACGACAGCGACCAACTCACTGCAGTCTCGTGTAGTGTCGCGGCGAAGCGGTCACGCCGCACCTCTGCCTCTGTTGCCGCTCTGTTCTCTTCCTTCTACCTGTGCACGGCCACGCACACTATCATTTTTCATTTATCTGTGTGTACCGGTCGTCGTCGTTCGTATAGACGGTCGTTTGTCCGCGGACGAAACGCGTTCCTTCTACCTGAACGCACGCACACGCAGCTCTACTATCGCCGATGCTCTTCTACAGACGATATTAACCACTATACATCGCTATCTTTCGGCTACTCGTATACTTTCACATACACATACGGGTTTCCCCTCAGTCGCTGCGCTCCGATCGTCTACTTACATATACGGATGTTTATCTCTCGTTACGTTCCTCTGTGTGAACAGGTTCCTCGCGATTGTATACGTACGAATATACCGCGTTGTGACGCAAGTTGTGCTTGTGCTCCGCGATGAACACACGTGCCTTTCGTGTACGCACGCGTCACAGGTAGATGATATTCCTTTCATTTACATACTGTCCTAAGCGTATACGTTTATAACCGAACATCGGTGCTTACGTATTTGTATCTGTCTGTTTTCTTTCGCTTAGAGAATGCACGACCTCTTTCTTTTTGTCACGTTACTCGCCAAAATTTGTGTTAGTATGCTTCTTTCATATAACAATCTATGTACGGACGTACTTGGTTATAGTTTTTTTTTTTCTTTTTCGTGATCGCGTACTCCAAACGCATTTCTATCGTTGAGGACACACACCAACATCTGATCTTCATTTGTGTAATGGTTTACAAGCATAGACATTTGTGTTTCATTCGTGAAGCGGTCGTACAAATACGTCTTTCTACTTGGCTATGTGCGCAGAAATAACATTTCTTTGGATTGTGTGCGACAACGGCGCTTCAAAGATGAACGGTTTCCTTTCGTTCGTATATCGATCCTTATACATCGATATTTATCCTGGCTGGTTTGTATAAATGTATACGACACGTTCCCATCACCTGTGCACACATGCAACGGTAAAAACTTGCTTATTACGTACGTATACGGTGCTCTCTTGGAGCAATCGCATTTTCACCATGCGAATTTGACAAATCTTGCGTTATTTCGTATGTAACGTTAATAAAGTAAGTATTTTACACAGTTTGTGTATTTTGACAAAGAGAAATAAAATAAAGTATTATGCGATGGTAATATTGTTTGCGTAATTTCCTTTATGACGATTATATTTCACTTTCACCTTTCCAGAATATGCTTTGCTTCGCTTTTGCAATGCTGTCTTATTGTTAGTATTCTAAATTGTCATTGTTCCAAAATATTGAAAAGTTTAATGTAAGCACAGACATAGAAATATATCATTATCAATAAGTAATGTAAATAATTATAAACAAATCCATAATTAATTAAAAATTAATTTCAAACAAATTTATATTAAAGTTGGTATGAAAAAAAATTTGGCAATTACATGATAACTGAAGATGTTCGATGCTGTTCTGTTTTTCTTCGGTTTTGATTTCGTTCACTTCTATCACCATACTGCGAGTCATTGTTCTTCCGAAGGAGGAATTTCACTCTCCAAGTCATCAATCGCAAGTCGATCGATTGCACTGGTTGGCGTAAAGAGGAAATTTCTTAAGGATCAAACTGAAAATTTGAAAGGACAAGAATGCACTGTTACCTGTTGCGCATGGTGCGCGATTCGCATATACGTGTATAACTTTCGCACATGCGCAGTTTGCAAGTATAAAGTTAAATATTCATATTCGTCTGGTAAATGTTAAACAAATCAATATAATTTATTCACAGTAAATATTATAAAAATATCCTATTTTTACTGTAATCTTCCTGAAAGCACACGGAATTTGAACGATCATAGTAAACACTTGAATAGAAAACGCAAATGTTTAAAGAAAGTAAGCGTGTTTCTGACTTAAGAATTTTTTGTTTAGTTAAACTGTTTGGAATAAACGGTATTAATGAATCTATTTTACACTTTACACTTTTCAGTGTCGATAATAGCTTCAAAGATGTATTTTTCAAAGTGAAAATTTTCAAATTTTCTCTTTACTGAAGTGTTAATAAAAGTAATGAATTAATGTGCATAAAATGAAGTTTAAACAAATAAGATATGTTTCTATATGCATATAGTTTTAGTGAACATGATTATTCTATATGTGAGTCACGTACACACTCCGGATGGAAGCGTACAGTCACGTAAAATGCATTTGATCGTAAGTCATTGCTAGCGCAGCAGCTTCGAAAGACATTGCGGCGACAAAGTGTTTAGCAAATAAAAATAATAAACATTGCACATGAAAATTGTAATGTTGTATGATACTGCTACATTTATTCAAAAATGCCAATTTTATTCAACGTACGCATGCAAAGAGTAAAAGATACAAGACCATAGATAATCATTAGCATATTTAATACTATTAACAAAATTTTAATGAAATCAAATGATATTGTTAAGATTACTTACAATAGACATACTGGTGTTCTGTATTTCGTTCCTGCAGTTTCTTATTCTCGAAAATCTCTAATATACTAGTAGATGTTTATAAATACAAATAACTTGCCCTTCGTATTATATTCTTGCCAAATTATGATGCAAAACTGTAACTTAAAGAAAGATTCGCGTATATATGTAGTATAGTCTAATGGAAAAGTTGTTAAATATAAAACACGATTATATATAAAAATTGTAGAGTTTTCGTTCCTCGTTTCTCTAGTAATTACGAATGTAGAGTGCATAAAAAATTTGTACATTTACGTAAGTAAGTGAATCGAACACGAGTCGTTCGATTTTCGTACAATATGTCATCGTTTGCTCATTTTTAATTCCCTACTGGCATATCACATTATTCAGAATATATTTATCTAAATTTATTTCAGCAGTAAATTTTCGAATTAATTCAGTCACATAAATGTTAGCATGTTTTTCATACACCCTGAGTGGAGTTATTAAATTACGAATACTCGATATGTATCATATTTACATTTTATATCCCATGGACGTCATAATATACAAGACGAATACATTAATAACAAATGCTCGAACTAAATAAAGAACAATACAAATTATCATCGACGACTTATACTTTACCACTTGTACAAAAATGAATTTTTTATTGTGTTAAATAATACTATGATGTATCCATTGCATTTAAGAAAGTTAATTTTTCATACGACCCCGCCTAATACAGAATATGTATAATATCATTTGTCGCGGTACAATAAAATTCCTGTACATATAAATGAAAATCATGAATAGATATTTCTTTCTACCATTCACTATTGTACAAACATTATAAATAAATGAAGCAGCTTTCGTGTATTTTTTAATTGCTTGGTATTACGATGTATATAAATCGAAATTAATGAAGGTTATGGCATCATAGAGAATCCCAGAATATTACAAAAAAAAAAAAAGCAACGAAGGAAAGAATTAGAAATGTGTAAATGTTGTTTCGCGTTATACTCACTCACTCATTCGCCTTAATATCTTTGATAAAAATTTCATTTTGCCGTTTTTTACACACAAACACTTTCTCACATTCATCGGCACTTATACAGCATTGACTTTCATGTGTCAGTAAAACTATTCAAAGTGATCTGCAACGAGAAAGCTTACATACTTTAGAAATTTTTCTCCTTACAATATAATCTTACAAATTACAATTGGACCAAGTGTACACCACAATGTAATGTTCATTACGCGAGCTCGTATTGAAAACCGGAAGTTATGACTACATGGCCCGTCAAGCTAGCACTTCGATGAAACGTAAAATATTGTCGTAACACTTGTTTAGTGTTTTGCTAAGTTAAAATAACAACGATCCATTTTTATTTTCTTACTTTCAAGCGAAATATACGCTAAAATATTTTATGTTTACATAAAACATATGTATACATAAGTTCAACCGTAGCTGAAAGTGGCGGTTAAAAATTTTAGATGTTAATATGACTACTTCAGTATCATTACCAGTACAAAATACGATTGTTACTGTACGGACAAATTGTGATTTGAAAGTGGAAAAAGAAGTGAAAAAAAGTGAATAAAGAAAACAAGGAGCATAAAAAAATTCGCATTTCATCCGGATTATACGTACGTACAAAATACAAATGAAATATTTTGTCATAGTAATAATATAACGATTACATCACACAATGTTGCATAGCGATACTTTATACACAGAACATACATCTATACATATAATTGAATTTTTGTAACAATATATATATACAAACAGAGGTTATGTTCTGCAAAAAATATTCATCTTTAATTTTTATTTTTATTTTTACATCTTGTATTTCGAATTGTTTTGAAACTTTAAAATATAATAGTAATTATTAAATTTTCAATTATTGTTTTTATATATTATAAACTTTTTACAATAATTCATACAGATGTATAAAAAAGCAAGAACCATCGATTTAAATTTCGTTTAATAGACATTAGATAACTTAAGTATTGTCCTTTTTGTAAAGCATTGTGTCATGTGATTGTATATTTTAAAGATAAAAGTATGAGATATACGTATGTCATAAAATTGACATTTATTATCCAATGATGCAAAGTACAAATGTAATTGCTCCGTTCAATAATTTCATTAGACCAAAGTTTTATAGTAAAGATGAACTTTACTCGGGCCATGTAAATATATCACAACGTGCATACATACACATATACATTCAACAAACATACAAATTATTTGTGAGATACACATACTTCTCAATCATTCTCACACTTTGCTGCTCAATGTACTCATCACTCAGTTTACAACTCACTCTCTACTTTGACACCTGATTTTTATGCATTCTCAACTAGTTTTAAATAACGAATCTCAAATAAGAATAATTCAAATTAATTTTAATTAATTCAGTAATCCAAGGTCACATATTAAGAACAGACTATTTAAACTACTTTTTTTGCAAGAAATATGAAATGCTGTATCAAATAAAAAAATCTATATCAGGCGTCAGGAACAATTACTTAATTATCGTGATTCAGCTTTCGTTTTAGGAGGCCTGAAGGCCTTTAATTTTTTTGCTTTCTTTTGTTTTGTGGCACTAGCACCAGATTGGAAAGCTTTCCAACTATCAACTCTTGATTGTCGGGATTCTTCAAAATTTTTTTGCCACTCACGTTCTAATGCAGCTTGTGCCTCTGCAGACAGTTCTTCTTCTCGTTTCCTTTTACGTTGCTCTGCATCTCTAGTTGCTAATTCTCGTCTATAGAAAGAAAAAAAAAGAAAGAAATACAAATTATTAGCAGAAATAGAATCAATTTCATTAACTACTTCTTGTCATTTAAATTAACCTTCTTCTCTCCATATCAGCAAACAGTTTCATTGTCATAACCCAAACCGCATGTCTATAACCTTCTTCTGTTTCTTCTTCGAGAACATTTGCACTTTCTGTTTTTCCTTCTTTCTTCAATTTCTTCTTCTTCTCTACAATCTAACAAATTTATTTATTTACATATTATCACAAACAGGGAAAATTTACTTTTTCATTATTCATACCATATGATCAGTTCTAGCTTTTGCTTCTTCTATAACATCCATGCATTTAGCCCTGGTTTCTTCATTTTCCAGTGTTTTCCATGCTTTATTAACAACTATAACCAAAGGAGCAATTTTGAAAATCCATCAGTTCTTAAAGTAACAATAAATACATACTTTCAAATGCTTGCTGCGCACGTTCTGCATCATCTTGGTTTTTATCAGGATGCACGAGAATTGACATCTACAAAATAAGGATAATCTGCTCATGTATATTCTAAAACTTATACATTGATTAAAGACGAAAGGTGTTAACTTACGCGTCGATATTTTTTCTTGATTTCATCTATAGACGTGGATGGATCAATTTGTAACACTTCGAAAGGATTTAAATTAAAATACGACGATCCTGGCCGAAGTAGTCTATCGATTTGTTGCTTGGGAGTTAACACCGAATCTCTTTTTTCTATTTCTTTCACCTAAAGAAATGTAACATTTCGTATAGCACGAAATCACTATTTGTTTAGGGCGCGAATATATTCGTACAGGTTAGGCTTATTTATAACTCGAAAACTACTACTGAAACAGCAGTTCATCTTATGACGTTTTAACAAATATTACGTATCACTTGTCAAATAACGGAAAACTATACAATATACTGATGCTTCAAATTCGATTTATTATTATTGTTAAATGCATACATAGTGACGTTTGTTAACCCTTAAAGTAAGGTACAAGTGTTTACAGTTATATAACAAAAATTATATTGAAAACCAACTTCTACACGGATGAATGTTTTAATGATATGATGTCATTCGAAATTTACATACTTCGGAATAAAATTCATTGAATTCGTCTTCTTTCTTGGTTGGACTATCACTGGATAGATTCGAGTTGGTAGCAGCCATCTTGATTGTTACTAACTTCCATGCTATTAGTGGCGCCGCCTGTTAAGAGTTAATATTTCGGATGGATTTGATCCGATTTGCTTTGATCTGTTTGTAGAAACTGATACAAATAATTCGCCTTATCGTCAGAATTTTCGCAATACATAATAAGACTGATTGATAACTCAATTATTAAAATCAATTTTGTATAATTTCGCATTTGTATAAAACAAAAATTTCACGAAATTACGTAATTATATTTTATAATTAGAATGCGATTATTTATGTAACGCTATAAATTTTTATTAACAGAACTGAAGAAAATAAATATAGAATGGCATAATGAATCAACTTTGTCATAAATGGATTTGGAAAGTTGTCTGAAATGGGTTTGGAAAATTGAGTAAGGAAAGTCGTTTAAAATCTTATAGTATTTTATTAACAAAGCTTAACAACCAATAAACAAGTAAGGTTTTATAGCGGTAACAAAGATGTATTAGAGGGAAATGAAAATAGTACATTCAATATACACTATAGCATAAAATTCTGTTCAACTCAATGGACTAAGGTCTAATTTTTCAAAACTAATCTAGCATGTACACATAACTACTCGCTATTTTCCATCAGGAAACACAGAATGCATAAATAGGAAGGTGTAAACCCTATTATGACACTAGAACATCTAGCATACATTACATTTCGACTAATCTAGCATGATATCTAATGGCTAATCGTTTACTAATGAACACCAGTTCATAGATAAACGCATTACTTTAATGTTATCTATGAGGGCCAGTCTGTTTAAAGAACGCGATTACAAACACACACAGTTTCCTTGTAACATTTTCCTTGCTTATTAACATACATCACGTTCATCTGTTAACTAGTTACATGAATTGCAAACTAATAGTTTTACACATCGACATTACGTGACTCGTCGGCTATTTATTTATTTTTTTTTCTAAATCTACCTTCGAGAATCTTAACGTTCTCTGCTGCTTCAAAATAAACTTTATAAAATATATATTTAATACTAAAAAACAAATATATTTGTGTAATTAAATATATATTTATATAAAAATATACATAACTACATATTTAATTTTATTAAATTCTGTGTGTTCATAATTATAATTTCTCATGATAAATGCAGATATAAATAAAAATAATATTAAGAATAAAAATAATATACGAACATTTAACATGTAATGATTTAATAAGAAGGTTTTTAATTGTTATGTTCCTCTATAATAATTCAAAATCTGTTATTAAAGTTTAACAGCGATCAGCAGCGTTAAGATTCGACGTTAAGATTCTGTTTCTTTAACAAAGCAGTTATTAAAACATCAAAAACTTTAGTTCAACACGAAACAGTCAGGACATCGATGTTTTTTTCTTAACGAGGGATAGTATATATTATTTGCATTAAACGACATATATCATCGTTTATGCATATATCGATAATGAACGTCGATTTTCTTCATTATTTAAACGTAATTTAGATATACAATCAGGTTTTTCATATTCATACATTGTCGAACGTGAAGTATTTTAACGAAAACATAAACCAACGTTGAAAATATCAAGTACGTGACATATTTTACAATCGATCAAAGTGAATACTCTAACTATGTCTCTTAAATTACCAAATACATAATATCGAAACTGATGGAAATTTAAATGATACTATACACGATTAATATTATAGTATAGCTGTACACTCTATGCATTCCTAAATGAATCCGACCTTGCAACTCTACCCTAACGAACATACAAACTTCACAATAGCTTATCTCCTTTTTTTTTTTAATCATTTTACCACGTGTGATTATACATATGTATGTGATAATAAATTCTATACGGACTAGCGATTAATGGTACTGATGATTGAAGTTCGTGAAGTATTTGTGAATCGTTTGCGACCTTAATAAGGTTCACATATCGATCTAAAAATTCATGTCTCGACAGCTATTGACTGCAAAGATCGCACGATGCGAATGATAACTGACAACTTGCATAATCTTATGTAATCTGTTCTCTCAGTTGATCTAGCATGATGATTGATTTATTATATTTATTATAGCCTGTGTACAGTCCGTTTATTAAACCGCACGTCTCACAATGAAGTACACAAAGCTAGCCGTACTAATAATAGATATCTTGACGATACCTTTGCTATATGCTGTGTATCCTAATTGCGCGTAAAACGAATCATTTTGTTCAACGACAGACAGGGCAATCTGTAATGCAATGTTAAGAAAACAGAAACCTAGGGTCACGCGCTAGCGGTTATGAAATTAGAAAACTCTACATCATCAAATTCTTCTTCTTTTTTTAAGATGGACTGTGATCCCACGGTATGTATATTTCGTTTGGAATACGAAAGTATTTAAAAACATTCGCACAATGGGATCTAGAACGTCCGAAACAATTCGATCTGCGACATCGTACATTATATCGGGAAATATTATGAAGCTGTTAGAATTCTCTTACACGGAAATACAATATTCGTTCGTCATTTGCTCGCAAGTGTTCGCAAATGTTTGCAAATGTATCGTGTAAACGCTAATCGAATAGTCTCGGTGAAGGATTTCCTCAAGATTTCGCGAACTTCCTCATGAAGTTTCTGTCAAAATATATATATTTGTTATTTTTTTTTTCTTGTTCGTAAAAATTTACACCTATATAACTTATCGATATGCATCGAAAAGCTTATCGTAATAAAGCGAATATGTATGTCTGACTTACAGAAGTACATCGTTTAGATGCGTAGATAAGACATGCGCCAAACAGTGATTATAGACATACAGATTGGTCGAATTTTCATTGATGGATCTCATAAACACACACTTGTCAAGAACGCGAGACAAATTTTCGAAAATCGAAGTTCTTACAGAAAGCCGCATATTTCATTTGCCACTCGATTAACATTATTGTACGCTTATGTATATTTAATCAGCGGATAATGGTCCTTTGATTTCATAATTGATCTTCGTATATTTTATTCGTTTTTAGATTTGCAGAGATAGTTTTTTTTTTCTTTTTTTCGTGGAAACTTCGTATTTTTACAAAGTGACGCGCGAATACTTTTAGCCATCATCGTGCCGATTTGTATAAAAATCGTGGATCAAAGCAAATTTGGTTGTTTCGGTTAGTACAAATTTTATTATTCTACGACCGTGTCACTACGTTCAATTTATTAGAATGGGAGGAATAAAGATTAGAATATGCCTCTTTGTATATTTTCACCGTGTTCTCCATACGCATAGAAATATCGAAAACCGTAACCCTTCAATTACGGATAACATCGATAAACGTCGAAGCAAAATTTGAATAGAACACAGGGGTAACGTTAATAAGCGATTTCATTGCTTTAATCATTTTGTACATAAGTGTATAATGTTCATGTTTGAAAGTGCGTAGAAACATCTATTTGAAATCAAATTAATTTCTATGTATATTATATTATATTTATTCATTTAAAATTAGATTAATCAATTTATGTATTAGTTTCGTCATTTTCTGATATTCTACGAACACGATTTCTCAAAATATACCCGTGATCAAAGGGTTAAATAACATCCCGCGAGAAACCAAAGCACCATTGAATGTTATACATTTCTAGGAGACATTAACACGATTATTACGTCTACCATATACACACTTTTAAACACATTAGGTAGATCTCTCGTATTAGACATCTTTATATATATATATATATATTCGTATATAATTATACTTATATTAAACTGATATAGTTTATTTCGCTGGAGTGAGCCTCGATTTTTACAAACTCAAATCATTGATCTTTAATACGTATTTTATCTATAAATAACAAATTTTACTTAAACATCTTCATTTCTGAAACCACGATCGATTTGAAATCAACGTACATAAAAATTTTCTTCGTCAGAAAGTTTTGCGTGTAATTATAACGACCAGTCCAGCAAAATAAAACTACTAGTCGACGCTATTACGTACGATACACTATATAAAAATTTTATAGTAACACTCGCAAATATATATGCCATCGCATAACGTTATATTCGCACTTATATAGGCACGCGCGCTCACACGCACACATATAAACTTTCAAAATCTATTTGGCACTCTCCTAGTTTCATCAAAAAGGCGAGCACACTTGCTATATTCATCAATTCAGAGACATTGCATCGAGTATAGCTTTACTCTTTTGCTACATATACGTTTTGTTTTATACTAGATATATCTTAAATTCTCCTTAATGTTACACGATCATTGGTCTAAGAAGGTATTTTTTGTTTTGCATAAAAAATATCAATTGTGACTTCGCGACTGAATTATCCCATTATTAATAATAAATGTATCTTGCTATATAGTCATTGTAAATATAATTTAACCAGTCAACGTTTCGAAAACAAAGTTTAATAATTAATTTGTATACGTGTGACGTGTATATTTTTTGATGATTTCTTTCCCCATTAATTTTGGTCTTGTGTTTGTATCAAGAAGAGTGTTAAGAATATAATAGAGTTAATTAACAATTTTGCGATTTCACTGAATTTTGATCTTTAAACATTCTGAGTCTTTTTTTGATTTATGAAACAAGCAAATATTTGATTATGCGTTTTAATGTATTAGCAAGAGATAGCTAAACAGTCGGGAAAAAAAAGAGAGAAAGTTGTTCGCGCTAGAGAACTGAATTTAGAAATATCAGCGAAAAATCGATTAGAAATTATCAAGCTGTAGTGTAGTTTCTTGTATCGTGAAATTTCTTCGAATATTTTACGTTTCTTTCTATACACACATTATAGATTACTAATTGTAAGATAAATATCTACGACGAAAGCACTATTCTAAACAGTCAGTGCAGTATGTATGTTGTTTCTCATGTAGATTTGCTGGATGCAGACAAAAAAAAAAGATCTCGATTCCATTCTGTTCGTAATTCCGTGCGGTAAAATTTGCAAACGATCATTGTTTGACGTGAATTTTGAAATTTCCGTTCGTGTGTAAACTACATCGGAAGCTGCTCGAGTTTGATTCACTGCAAAATATTTGACATACGTGTTTCAGCACAGAAATGGTTTGTTACACTTTGTGCACAAATTATCACGAAATCTTTTAAAAAACTGAAAGCTAACTGTCCGTGTAAGCTCGTGGTTGCTTAGAATTTTATTTTGTACGCTTTTTGATATCCATAAGCTGAGGGCAATCGATGCGAATACAAAACGAACACCATTCGAAAAATATTTGATTGCCTGCAGAATTTGATTCTCAAATATAAAAGATTACATTTTCGCGCGTGTGTCGTGAGTTTCGTTTCATTCATAAAGAGGAATGTGCATCACCAGAGTATAAATTACTTTCTCGATGTTAGTTACCAAGTGTACCATTTACCATGTACCATTTGATAATTTAACTTGTCATTAAGTTCAATTTTGTTTTTTTTCTTTATAGATATATATGCCTGTACCCAGCATTTTTCGTGAATTGTATCATATATTTATGTGTCTGATACGTTATTTCGTGTAATTGTTTGGGATGCAAGAGTGGTGTTTAACATATAAGGGAGCAGAGATTATGGGTCACTAGGCATCGACGCACATTGAAAAGGATTCACGTTTTCGACAATGAATCGTTCTGTCGTCTCAATGTGTGTCGCGCATTATACGTTGCATTTTGATTTCGAGCTGTCAGCCATTGATTTTTTTTTTTTTTTCCTTACATATTACTTACGTAGTAGACGATTCATAATTTTTGTTTCCTTTACGACTAGATCTTAACGATAAAACGCTCAGTATGTATAGACATTCTTTAAAGGCTGTCAAGTGTTCCGTTTGAAACAAAAATCAATATATCACAATATAGTGTGTATTAAAATAAATATTCCATCGCGGGAAATACTTATTTCGAGTATTGTGCAAATCGTGATTATTCGTGTACGTGAAACGTTTAGCTGTTTGGGGATTTTTGATAAATTTGCGCGATTCGAATTTTTTTTTTTTTTGACATTACAAATGTGATATATCGCGCGAATTTCTCCCGAAAAAGAAAATTTGTTGAAATTCGTTTGATTATGTATTACGTGTACGTGAATATGACAATAATGAGATATGTTTGTCATATCAAAGTAACGATTATATCTTGGAGAATATATCTTCACTTTTCTCTCTTAATATTAATAATATGTATGACCTATCGTTATCATTATCTCAACATATAAAGTAGATAATTTCATTTTTAGTAGTAGAATATAAATACGTACATCTGTCAACTGATGTAGAAAAAAAGCTCGTACAGAATATTTTAAGTAAACTGCTTCCTGCGCGAAATAAAGATATCGATAACAATTTTTCCAGTTTCAATAGACCCCCAAAAAAAACATATATATATATATATATATATATATATTTGAGATAGATAAATTTTGCTTAAATCTCTATCAAGGACTTTGTCAAATGTTACACAGTACAATCATTCGTTTTATGAAATAGAATTTAAAATTTTAACGTAAGAGAATTCAAGAGTGGCACGATTTTTTGCAACAGAACTTTTAATATTTGAACTCGTTCTCAAATAACTTTCCAAAGAGAAGATAAATCACTGTCCGAAGTTCGCTAAAATACGAATGAATAAATTGAAATTAATCTTACTAATATTCATTGAGGAAATTACTTGATAATATTAATATTTCGCACGTGATATATTCTCGTATAGTTGGCGCGATAATTAAACTGAGACAAACATTGTACCATAAATTTTTCTCTGGACAACATCAACATGCTATAATAAACATGTATATTATATACGATTACACCATCGCGTTTGACACTGATTATTAATGAGTTAACAACGTTATACTTAAGTAATTTCCACCGTAGTCGATGGAGAAATATTCCCGATTACGTTACGAAAAAACAGTGTCGTCACTCGCGAAGCAATATTTAATAAATATATTACTCGTATCTTACTAGATTGCTACTGTTTGTCCTGTTCGTAGGTAAAGAGAGGTCTCCTTTGTTCAACAAACTATCATTAACGTCGACGATGCTTAATGCCAGCGTCACGTGTTACGACCATCGAGTAGCAGGAAGCAGAATATCGCGTTTTCACATTTATTAATTTCTTAAATAATTGTTTTTTGCTTTTTCATTTTTATTTATCTCGACAAGCACACGCACGCGCATACGGATACAATTTTTTTTTTTTTTTGTACACAAAGAGACCACGCACGCGCACACACAACGCTCGCAACAAGGGAACACGTCTTACAAATCTAACATTTTTTTCCTCAGAATTTTCTCCCTTATGAGCGACGTTTAGCTGCCTTAATAAAAATTCTACACTAGGTTTTACAGCGTTCACGCGTGTGAAACGCGCCTGTGTAACACCTTTTTGTATTTTGTGTTTCAACGTGCAAGCGGCTATTCCGATCGGAATCAGAAACTAAGATGAACGGTTTTTCGCTTCTTCTCTATGTTGGAATTACTCCTTGCTCTGGTACTTGGTGCTCCTGTCGAATTTTAGAATTACAACAAGAACTGTGTGGTGACTCTACGTGGTTTCATTTCCCTTCGCTAAACTATATAGTTATAATTCTAAAAAGTTTCTTATATTCGATAAAAGTACAATAAAAACTCGCCCCTTTGTATCGTTACTTATTGTCGCCAAGTAGCAGATCGTTCGTGACTCGACAATACACCACGACAAAACGCCATGTTGCAAAAGCATTGTTCCAACATACGAAGAATCTTCAAAATGAACGTCTCTCTTTTAATTATAAATGTTCTGATAAAATCTATTCTCCGTGCTTCTCTTCTTCTCTCGCAACGCAACGTTTTTCTTTCGTTTTCTTTTTTTTTTTTTTTTTTTTTTTTTTTTTTCTTTTCTTTTTATCTCTTTACACTCACTTACATCTTTCCTCCGAGCATTCGATCAACGAACGAAACTCCAATTAGCGTTAGACTGAATGTGTATCAGACGATAGGAGAAATTAATACGATTAACGCGCAACAAACGTAGATATGTAGGTTTTTATAGAGAAAGAGAGACAGAGAGAGAGAAAGAGGGAGAGAGAGAGAGAGAGAGAGAGAGAATAAGTGTGAAAGAAATTTACAGAATTTACGGCGAATTTATCGATCACCGCAAATGAAGAGTAAGCCTTGCACAGGCTGGTTTCCGGTTCACCCCCTTCACCAACGTCCACGCTAGGACCTTTTGTAAAAAAGAATTTTTTACAAGGTCATACGTGGCGAACGGTGGAGGGGGTCTGGCCGCTATGCTTGGTCCACCTCGTGACAAACCTCCATATAGTCTGGGTTGTGCATTATGTCCTTTATCATATCCTTTAGGATCGGATAACGAGGGAAGATTGGATATACTTTTGAGCTATTGTACTCCTCCTGCCGGCAAACAGGGCATTATCGTTATTAACGTAAGACTGGTCTTGATCACGTGCTGCGATAAAATCATAGGCAACTGTACATTAAATTAGATGAGAAAGTTGAAAGATTCGGTTCGGTTCTTTGTCTTTCTTTCGGGAAAATAGATGAATAGTCTAGCATTTTCCCCCAATTTAAATAGAATATTCATCGATAATATCTATGGGTGTGTCTGTGATTGCATCGGAGAAGAATTATATTTAATTGAGTCTCACGAAGGTTATTACAAAAAATTCGACAGAGGTTATTACAGAAATGGATAATTTTCAGTCAACTATAGATTGAGATACAGGTTACATTTGTGCTGCGGGTGTATGTCGCCTAACCCAGTTAACTAAAGAGTTGAAAAATTTTTACAGGAAAGAGCATGGAATCATTTCGCTTGAAATGTTATTATTCGACATTTTCTCTCTGAGCATCAAACTGATAAGAAGCGGCTAGAATTTGTTTCGAGCGATACGTGAAAAAAAAAAAAAAGGACGGTCTGAAAAGAGCAATGCGAAAGAATCTTGATCAAAAAAGTTTCAGCTGATGGATTACTACACGGCTTGTAGCATGCACCGCGATATACGTATATATTTTATTTCTTCTTTCCTTTTTTTGTAACCTAAATACCGTAGTCTCCCGAATTTTTGTCCCTGTTACATCCTATGGATGTTATTGTTCGAGAAAAAACAGTATAAATAAAAATATAAATGTCATTGTTTGGAAGAAATCGTATCAAGAATTTTTTTTTTTTTTTTTTGCATTCATAAGATAGCGTGAAGAAAAATGTTTAATTTTGAACAGTGGTTCCGTTGTGAACGCAGAAAATGCTTTCATAATTTTAACGAAAAATGGTTTCCTATATGGTTCATTTGTTTCGACAACGAGGCACTAAAGAGAAAGCTAAAGGAAATTTACAAGATGCGTGTAGCTTGTACGATAGCGATAGCGAGAAACGTTTTTTTTTTCAGTGAGTTTCTGTCGATAATACTTTTCTAAAAATCGGTACGAACACGCCTTTCAGTAATAATTAACTGATTAATTCGGCCTCGATGAGTACGTAAAAGAAGGATGTTCCTTGGTTTACTTGGTTCGCTGATAAATACCTTTAAGTCTCGAATGAGATTTCTCAGTCCCGTGTACTTTTTCAGTAATCTGTACAGGTCGTTAGTCATTTGCGTGTTTTCTGCTTCGATTTGGGCTGTTGTCATACCTGCGCACACAAACGGATACGATATATGCATGTATACACACGTAAAGAGCAAATCGATAGCGAACGAGCACAAGATATATCTTACGTTCGATGAAAGACATTTCAGTGTACGAGAAATATTTTGTTCGAAGGAATTGATACTTAATTTAGCCGAGGAATTTGCTCGAAACTCGCTTTGAACATGCTTTCCCAATGAACCGTTTCAATATTTCTCGCGATAAATTGAAAAATCGTTGTTTTAAATATCACGCGTGATACTTCATTTACTGTCTGCTTTACTCCTCAGAATCGTCTAGAAGACATAATTTTCAATGCTGGACTATTACGCTCATCGAGCACGTATGCGATGGAAGATAACATATTATTCATGCTCGGCAGGTTTTCAAGCGACAGGACAGCTATCGAGTTGTGTCTTTTCCGCGCGATTTGCTTAATGCAAAGGCTGCTCGTTCACGTTACTACGAATAGGTATCACATTTTCTCAAACATCGTTTTTCATATTTTTCGATTATCCATGACGACACGTTCGCATTATCGAAACTACACGTAAGATATTTATAACCTCCTCTTACGACGAAATTAATATTCATTTCATCGTTGAGAGTTTCACAGTTCGTCACGATGTTACAAATGTGTAAAATGTGAATAGATTTTTATCAAAGTCGCGAATTATCTCTAATCTATGTATATTGGAATTTCAACTTCGTATTCGATATATCTTCTTTCCTTCTGCTATCGAGTGATCTACACACGTGCATTTGGAAAACTGATACTCCACCGTAATAAAATTTCAACTCACTTTCGAGTCTTTCAATGCGTTCTCTTTTGGTATCAGCTTCCTCGGCCAGCCGGGCCGAAGTTTTCACACCCTCGCCGCTTTTATGGGTCTTCTCCATAATGGAACACGCGCGCAGAACAAACGCAGGCACCGTCTCCTGTTTTTCCTGCTTCGGTATATCCACCAGCGTCCAGTATTGCGTCTCCAATTTGATCACGTCCTAGAAAGATAAAACCACAGACATCCTATACACGTAGAAACGTTTTCGTCGATTGTTAAATATAATTCTGCGTCAACCTCGCTCATTCTGTCATTTCATTCATTGATTAATCCTGTCGCGCCTCACAGGGGCAACAATTTGACTCTCAAATTCGGAGTTTTTTCTTTAATTTTCTAATTTTTGTCTTTCATGGGGTGTCATGGTCTTTGGAAGCTTGTTTAGATCAAGTTAATGGACTTTTAGACTTTCTCTTGTTAATTAAAAAATTCACTTTTTGAATAATAAGAGTCACGGGGTATTAGGATTGTAGACATGCCTAAGTGGGCCGAAAAAGAAAAAGAAGTTAGAAGCCACTGGATTAATCAGATAAATTTCTTTCCTAATTTAAGCCACGTTAGAGAAAGTATTGTAAATTATTCAGTCACGTGTTGAACATTGAACAACGATCCGATAGTCTGATAGTCTTTGGACGATAATCTGATTTTAACAGCAAAGAGAATTGTAATTACCTTAATCATTAGTTTTAACAAATTGTAACGTTGAAACACGTTGCGAACCTGTTTGCTGTCAGTATATTTGCACATGAGTTCGACGAGGGCACGTTTAGCGATCTCGTAGCTTCCGTCCAGTCGTATCCTCACGATTCTTAATCTCTCGTTCGTTTCAATCACCTCTTCCTTCGTTTGCCCACCTGTGTCAACAAACATTCTTCAACAATTAGTATTAAATTCAAGTCACTCTGGGACGATGACACGCGTCAGAATTTATTATACAATCAGAATACACGGTGGCGTTGTCAACAATTTTACGAAATCAATTTTAATTAAATCTCCACGGTGAGCTTCGCAGCAACGGAACCTCGTATCGTCGTTACGTTTTGCAAAATCGGTCGAGACCTGTGGTGAAATTTGTCAAATTTCCTATCCTTCGGCGACGAATTGCGAAATATTGCAAAAGAGCTAATAACGCCCGCGTAACGAGACGTAAAAATGATCGCTCATCTTTCTCCGAGAAGAGCGTTTTCCAAAAGCATTTTGCTGGAGTAGTTTCAAAAGCTTTCCTCTGGCGAGCGTTCAAAGATTAACAAGCGATACGATCTTTAACATGCACGCGCAAACACGCGGCGTTGTCCACTCACCAGCTGGCTTAATAACATTACCGTATCGTGTACGCCTAATGAGAAAATTGATGTTGCCGTTTCGTTACAGGGAATTCATTTCTGTTCTAATTAAAGCTCTCCTTTATTGTTACCGAACTAAGTCCGCACTTTATAGGCAAATTTGCACGAAACAGGGAAGAAAGAAATTAATGGAAAATCGAGGCCCCTTTTGTACTCCGTTCCCGACATATTAAACAGCAAAGTTCTTGTTATAAACTGTCTGAAATATCTCGGAACGATTCGATTAGTTTCGTTCGTTTAAGTTTGCAACTCAAATTAAGGTTTCAATTGATCAGGCTCGATCAACGTGCTCATCATTGGAAAATGTGATGTACAATTTTTCAAATTCGCAACGCAACGCAGCGTTTGATAATAGAGTTGAATATTTCCCGCATAATGGCGAGCTATTATCGTAAAACATTCGCGAAGATTATTCTATGTATACGATCAGTTCAAACAGCCGTGCAACTAGAAAATACGAGGCCGTATATTTTTTGCTGTGGCTGCCACGAAGACGATAATCACACCGTAGTAGATATTCCTCTAATATGTAAATTCATTCATGAAAATAAGCGTACAATTTCCATACAGATGATTTAAATTTTAAATAGAGATTAAATAAAACAGCATACAATGATATGGATATTTTCAGCAAAATACTTGCTTTCTGCGCCAATTTTCGTGTAGAATACAGAAAAAAAAAAAAAAGAAAAAAAGAGAATGTATATTCCGTAGATGTTACAGTTTCTTAAAATTACTTTTATCATTAAAAAAAACAAACTCGAGAAATCTCGTTATTATAAGTTTTATATTTTTTTATCTTAACAGTTATATTTTCTTCTTGCAAAATCTATATTAGTTGACTAGTTGAAACTGTAGTAACGTAGTAAAATTACTTTTATTAAAAGAAAAAAAAATTCGAGAAATCTCGTTATTTCCAAAATTATAAGTTTCACGAAACTTTTATATTTTTTTTATCTTAACAACAGTTATATTTTCTTCTTGCAATATCTATATTAGTTGACTAGTTGAAACTGTAGTAACGTAGTAAAATTACTTTTATTAAAAGAAAAAAAAAAATTCGAGAAATCTCGTTATTTCCAAAATTATAAGTTTCACGAAACTTTTATATTTTTTTTATCTTACCAACAGTTATATTTTCTTCTTGAAAAATCTATATTAGTTGACTAGTTGAAACTGTAGTAACGTAGTAAAATTACTTTTATTAAAAGAAAAAAAATTCGAGAAATCTGGTTATTTCCAAAATTATAAGTTTCACGAAACTTTTATATTTTTTTTATCTTAACAACAGTTATATTTTCTTCTTGCAAAATCTATATTAGTTGACTAGTTGAAATTGTAGTATATTGGAAATTTTAGTTCAAATTCGGATTTAATTTTTGTTTTCAACAACATTTTACCAGACTTTTTTTTTTCTTTAAAAAGAAGCTGTTGCATTTGAAAAACGGAAACGTGCAGTATTCTCGCCGCGATTTAATTTAAAGATACCTGACGGCCAGCTCAACAGAAGAAAAAGTATGCGAATTGTTGATCTGGTTTTAACGAAGTTATCCCCTAGAGGGAAACGTTCGCGACTATTTGAAGCGCAAATAGTAGGTGGGTACACTTCTGACGCGTCGTTATACCAACTGACCGGGTGTAAAAGCTTCTGCTTGAATTCCATTCATGAGCCAACAGTCGACCACCTGGCACAAGTCCAATACCTTATTTCTAACAGTCGGTACGAACATCTTCATCCCCAATTCCCCTTGCGTTACTATCTCCGCAAACAAGCACGTGCTTTAGGAAATCGACATCCAAGATCGCCCGCTTTAAATGGATAATATTTCCCTTATGGATATTAAAATCGTTTCTCTGCCCGTGTGCAGCGCTCGGCCGAAAGTTTACGCGCCATTGGAAATTGACGAACCATTCCGCACAATTAAATTGCAATTAATTTCAGTGAGCTATGCGAGAAACGGATATTATCGACGTGGGAATTAAATTCTCGTGCAATTACGCAAGGTGAGCGAGGAAATTAAAGTTGGAGGTAGCATGGTATTTAAGATCAACGTGAAATAAGAAAACGAAGAAATTAGCGCGGGTAAAGGAAACAACGAAAATAAACAGACAGTGTTTTAATTTCTTTTTTCTTTTTTTTTTTTTTGTTTCCTTTATCGCACGATGAAATGGACAAAGAGTTCAGAGTGAGCGATCGAGTTTCCTTTTGTCTTTACGTTTGTCTCGTAGAAATGAAAATTATATTTCCATAGAACTTTTACGGCCGCTTCTGCTTTTTAAGAACAATGTACTTCAAAATTTGAAGATACAAAACGAAGAAACGGAACGAACAGCAGAGTTATTAACGAAATTCGTAGTGTTACGATATCTGAAGTTTCTCTCTCGTGTGTACCAAGATTATTAATTAATAATAAGGGTTAATTAATTCTAGTTCATCGCGGTTAAATATGCATATTGTTAAATTCGAAAACATTTGCATAATCTGTTAAATTTAGCACCGGCAGATTTGATACAGCCGGTTACAGCACAATAAATTCCATTTTACAGCGCAATAAATACAATTGGATTAATGATCCTCTAGGAATTAACTGCAAATGACGATCTACGTGCGTGTATTCCATTACAATAATAATAGCTTACTTGATGTTCCCTCGTCCTTCACATCTTGAACGATTCTCCGGACACTCTGCGTGAATTTGCCCATGAGATTCGTGCTTGCTGAAAAATATTAAGAAACAATTATTTAGAAGACTTGAACGACTAGTTGATCAAAAGTACGTTGCTACAGTTTACATTTTCAATCGTTTCAAGCTTAATGTAGCACTACTCTGCTTATGTTGTAACTTTAACAAGTTTAACGAAACGATAAATGCGTTACACTGTCAATGAGAAACCGTTCTTTAGCATTTTCCATGCGAGATGATCAGGATATCAGAAATGAGAATTATAATTATAATTAACACGTTGAATGCCACGCTGATTTTAGTTGACTGGCCCAAAACGTCAACACGAATCTGTTATTATACCATAGATTACGTTGAAATACTATCTAATAGATTTATTTTACTGGCGACCCCCACAGCGCTGAAACGCGTTTCTTCCATTTTCACCTACTTTTTCACGATACTTTATTTTTTACGACACAGCGAAACTGAGAATTGCATTTCTTCACGTACAAGCCCACAGAGAAAGCTACGCTATAAAACTGAGGGGGAAAAAAGGCAAGAAAGATCTATATCGGGCGACGATTTTGTAGATGTTATGAAAAAAAGTTTAACTAAGCAGAATGAAAGCATAAAATTGTACCAAAAAAGTCGTCACATTGCGAAGATCTTTTCTTTATTTGCAGTGCTTCAATACGATATATCACAATATCCGCGAATAAAATTTACATATTATAAATAAAATTACTTACATATTTTGTACATATATTATAATATATGTATTTATAATATATGTATTATAATATATATTATAATATATTTTATTTATAATATATAATATATGTATTATAAGTATATACATATTTATAATACATATTATAAATAAAATTACTTTTGTGTGTTCTACGCTGTACTGAATTTCTTCACACCATTGTAGGTAACGAAGCTAATATTGAAAAATTTAGAAGTATCAACATTCATTTAAATTATGTGTTTCTACTAATCTTGACATCGCCGGTCACCAATAACTTCCAGTATTCAACGTGTTAATAATTATAAGAAAAAAGAATTTCTTGCACGTAGTAAGAGAATCTTATCTCAAAAAAGAATGAATTGTCAATTATATCAATATTATTTTTTAAATAATACACGAAGAGAAAGCTCCGCGAGATCCATATATAACATTCCTCTTGATTCTAAGTATCGTTTGATACTAGTGCGTTCAATATAACTTTCTTAATATCAGAAAGAAAGGTGGTTTGTTTATTTGCTCATTCGTGGTGAATGCACGGAAATAAAAGCGCTGTGTAAGGAATCCGGTACATATTTTTAGGAGGTAAACGGTTTCGTCAGACCTGTGTGTGCATGTGTACGTGTGTTGGTGCATATTTACGTTGGATGACATAAAACTCGATTGGGCAGAAGAGCGAATAAAGCTTCTTAGTCGTAAAACATAGAACTGTCCTTAAGACCGTTGAAGTAGGCTTTTAAAAGCATTTTATGCACTCCCGCCAGATAACCTATTGTCTATAATACTTGTGAGACTTCTGTAAAAGCAACACTGCCTGATATAACTTTACATCGGGCCTACAACTAGGCAAACTATTCTCTCGCCTCTGTGCATGTGTGTGTGTGTGTGTGTGTGTGAAACTACACAGTTCGTCTGAATATTCTTGTTACGTATCCTATGTTTTTTGACTTTTCTCGATGAAGAAAATTGGTATTCAAATTCCTTATTTGATATTTGCAATTATGTCGAATCGATATACATATCTCTTATTCTTTGCTGCGATATTCTTTGCTGCGATATTCTTTGCTGGAGGTTCGATTCTTGGATATTTTTAATTATTCATTGCAAAACTCCTATTCGTAAACATTTAGATACTTTGAATGTATACTATAATGTACATTATTATAACAATATCACAATTTTATACAATATATATATATATATATATATATATATATATATATATATATATATATATATATATATATATATATATATATTATTAAATAACAATAACATTACAATTTTACGCAATAAGCGATTACGTATCATAAATACGTGTGTCAGATTTCTGTTCTTACACGTGAAAGTTAGAAGTATTGGAAAGTCGATACGTTTCAATGGAATCTTTCGCCCCGTATTGGTTGTTACGTCAGAAATATTATACACAAAGGGAGAGATGTCAACCTGAAACCTGAAGTGGTACTTTAGCAGTCTGGACAAAGACCCGATACAAACGGTGCACTTTTAGTATCGCAAAGCCACTAAAAGAAAGGAGAAAGGGAGGTGAGTGACAAGTGACTTTCTTTCGTGGTGTTGGCTACGAAACATCTGTACACAACTAGCTTATTTCACTACGTTTCTATGCAAATTTAAATTAAAAAAAAAAAAAAAAAAATGGACGTTCGTTTCATCCGTTTCGAATGATTTTATACGTGTAACTTTAGATTTTGTAATAATGAAATAAAATAAAATATAAATTTCGGAATCGGAGAGGTTAGCTAGAGAATTTAGTGTATTTCAGTCCGTCAAAACGCGAGCAGAATTGCCCTTGAAGGTATTTCATCCTCAAATGCAATATTGCAAATAAAAATACAACGGGAAAGAAAATGAAACGTCAGTTTACCAGGTATTTACGTGCATTTCGGTGAAATTGCACGAACAGATTCAAGCGAAGTTTTCCACGTAACTTTTTGCAGTCTGTTTTATTCTACGACTAAAACCCATGTTTACAATTTTCTCTTCGTTTCTGATACTTGAAGAACAATGAATATCTTTATGAAATATTTCAGTTTCAATACGATTCGACGATATAAGGTATGCTCCGTGGTGAACGTTTTGAAAGATTATTTTCTTCTCAGTTTCTTGTTTTTGTATATCTTGAAATATTTTTTACAAAAATTCAAGCAGTCATTTTTCATGCAAAGAGCATTATTTCATGAAACGAATTACTGTGAGAGACATATCAATTGCGCGAGATACATTAATTTTTATATAATACATGTGACAGTTGTTTCTGAATCGAAAGAACGATTTTACCATTCGATTCATTCATTATCAGACTGAGAGCATAAACATGTAATGTTATTAATGCAACAAAAAGAAATTCCGATTTAACTGTACATTCGCTGCAAAAATATTCTACAGTGTTAATAAAAGTTTTTACAATAATTCATATGAAACGCATATGCAAAGTACTCTTGCAATACAGAAATAAATTTTTCACGGAAATTCCTTAAAATATGAAACGTACCGAAAAATCAGATCAGTAACGTAGGTAATAAATGCATTATTATGCACTTTTGCATACGCAAGCAACGTAACATAAATTTCTTTCATTTCATCGTTACTTCAACCAAGTTTCCGATAACTTCAAGAATTCAATTCAATATTCACTGTATTATTTTTCATATAATCTGCATCGAAAGCTTCGATTTATTTCATTCAAAATTTCCCCACGCATTTCCATTCATTCGCAAATATACAACTCTTTCGTATTTTGTGAATTCAGCAACGTGTGACACGTAAGTGAACACATTTTCTACTTTGTACCAGATCACACACGATGCACGCAAATGTTCGTTCGTATGTATAATGATTTATTATATTAATGAACCGTTATATACACACACGAAGGATATAATTTATCTCTGCATTGTATACAACCCGTTTAATGCATTTGTATAGTCAATCTGCGGCCGCATTTACGAGCAAAAGAGCATTATTTGGCATCGTTAGGGGAGTATGATTTGTATTTGTGAACTTGGCTGCATGCCAACGTGGAAGGATAACTTAAACTCGTGCCATCATTCCGGACAATGATCTCGTTTAAGGGCTGATCATCCGGACTGTTTCGTGAAAGCTGATTAAATTTTAGAATTTTGAGCTGGCTGATTTTGATCTTTTTCGGCGTTAATTTATTTAAAAAGACTAATTTAAAGGGAAGAAAAATATCAGACTACGTGCGTATTCTTCTCTGAAGTAGATTATCACATGAAAATTGAATTTGAAAAATTCAAATAGTCCTACGTTTCAAACATATTCAAAATTCAAGCTCAATACAGTCTTTTATGCTCTTTCATGTTCTGCTTTATATTTGGTTCCTTTACGCACATTAGTTTAAGCTACGTGCTCTTTATACTATTTTGTAATAAATCGCGGAAATATGCACGTTGCTCTACCTCTCGTTGTATTTAACATTTTTCTAAAAATTATAAATTCACGTATAATTTCATTTATAAACGTACGTTCTTATAAAAAGGACACAGAATTAAATGTATCAAAAAAAAAAAAAAAGACCAAAAGAGACAAGTGATACCTTCCTAGAAAAATCTCCGCCTGGTGTTTCGATGTTTTTCGCGTTCTGAGAATTGCTTCTTCTTACGTCCTCATTTCTCGAGGAAAATGGATGCAGAATCCACCTCCACTCGTTGAGGATAGAAACATCACGTAGTGGCCCTACGCTGAATTTCAATATCCATGTCCAAACTGTGGAAAGTGCGACAAGAGACAAATTCCGGATGACGTAGCGCTCCCCTCCTCGCGATTTCGCGATGGGACAGCATAACGCCAATCCACCGATGGCACGTTCTTACCTCGAGACGTCTACCCGTGTCTGCCTAGCCTTCCTTCAAAGTGGCCCACTCGTGGAAATCAAAGCTAAACAAGCGGCGGATGTGACGCTAGTCGAAAGTAAACGTGTCAACGCGCGACGTTCGATTTGAATTTAACGCGGCTGCCTGCAACGCGCGACAGGAAACGTCGAGGGAAAATTGAGAGAAGGATTCTTCCTTGAAATTTACATTTCTGCCACACCCTTCTGCTCGTTCATTTTACCTTTATCCGCCGATACACGCGGGATTTTTCACTCTGCTCTGCGATAATATAATATAACGTAAGATAAAATGGTAAAAAACGTTCAATTTGACGCTAAATGTCGCTAAGTATCTCATTGTGTTTGATCGTAAAATAGAATGAGCAAAAAGAAAATATCATTCTGATTTGATCTGTGAAGGAGTAACTATTGGATTTGCTATTTTAAAATT